CGCCCCAGCGCAGCAGCAGCAGCAGCAGCAGCAGCTGGGGGGAAGAAGATGCAGTGGAAGCTGACTCGCAGTGGAAGCCCCCCAGCGTTGGCGCGGAGGCGGGGGAGCTGGCAGACACACTTCAGCAGCAGCAGCAGCAGCAGCAGCAGCAGCAGCTGCAGCAGCAGCAGCAGGAGCAGGGGGAAGAGGACGAGCTTGCTTTAGACGGCAATGATGAGGACGTCGCAGCAGAAGATGCGTCAGAAGAGACAGAAGGATCAGCAGCAGCAGCAGCAGCAATAGCAGCAGCAATAGCTGCTGCTAATGCAAACAAAGCTGCCTTTCGCCTTCCTGCTGCTGTTGCAGTTGGAAAAGCCTTTTCAACAGTTCTGCGCGTGAAGGGCCTGTCCACGCAGGTAAGGCCTAGGGTTTAGGGTTTAGGGTTTAGGGTTTAGAAGAGGGAGTCGCCCCCGCGCCAAGACAGGAGCCACTGCAGCAAAGAAAAGACACAAATACTAGAAAGACAAAAAGTGTTAGCAGCAGCAGCAGCTGCTGCAAAGATATTGGGCCTAGACGAGAGCAGCAAAAGGAAAAAGGAGAAGGGCTGGCAGCAGCAGCAGCAGCAGCAGCAGCACCTTGATAGTCAACTGTAGACTCGGGGCCTCAGCTAGCTGCATGGCTAGCTGGCAAGGAAGCGGGGCTTGTGCCCTTGCTGCTACTGCTGATGCTGCTATTTCTGCTTCTGCCGCTACTGCTGTTGCTGCTGCTACTGCTGCTGCTGCTGCTACTGCTGCTGCTACTGCTGCTGCTGCTGCTGCGCGTCTGCAGGCGGCGAGAGAGTTCTGCTGCTGCTGCTGCTGCTGATATTGCTGCTGCTGCTGCTGCTGCTGCGCCTCTGCAGGCGTTCAGAGAGTTCTGCTGCTGCTGACACTGCTGCTGCTGCTGCGCGTCTGCAGGCGGCGAGAGACTTTTGCTGCTGCTGCTGATACTGCTGCTGCTGCTGCTGCTGCGCGTCTGCAGGCTGCGAGAGAGTTTTGCTGCTGCCTGGCGAATCTGCAGCTGCGGTGTACGCGGTGGCACTTCTCGCTGCTTCGGCTGTCTGGACAGCTGGCCCGCAGCTGCAGCGCAGCAGCAGCAGTAGATTTATCTCTCATAACTTTTTATTTGGCATTTTTGCAAATGCGAAACACCGCAGACCAACTCGCTCTCTTTCCCCTCCTGGCCTCCAGGCGCCACTGGCACTCGGTGCGCTGCTGCTGCTGCTGCTGCTGCTTCTGCTGCTGCTGCTTCTGCTGCTGGTGGAGTCTCGTTTTTTTTTTCTTTTGTGTTTGGTTTTCCCTCTTTTCTCCTCCTCGTTTGCGCAGTTGCTTCCGGCGTGT